TGATTGTATTATAGATAACCACGTGTAGTCTACAAGCCTTTAACTTAATATATATATTTATAAATATGTATATATAAGAAGTGCTAGGTGTAGCGGTGTCCTGGCTCAGCCACTGGCAACACTGTCTTATTAAACGTATGGATGTCAGCGTCGGCGGTGACTAACTCCTTAATATTTATAAACAACTCGTCTGGAACAGGCAAGCACTTGTAGCTGTCCTTGTAACTAGTAGTGTAGAGTGCCAGGAGGATGCCAAGACGGTGTGAGTGAGGGGAGCGACGCCTGGCGCCAGATAAGATAGAAATAAGACGGTGGGCGTCTGGTTCAAGGTGGCGTCAGAGATGGAGAGGACGAGGGGCAGTGCGCATGCATCTATCTTATATCCTGGGAATGTTCTCTTATATTTAGACTCGGTGGCACTCCAGGGCCGCCACCATCACCTGACCTTATCTTTCCTCACCTGGGTTGTATTTATTTTCTTTTTTTTGGTAGGTTGGTTGAGGATGGAGGTTGAGAGAGGTGCAGGAGCCACCAAGATGATGGAACTCTCACAACAAAGCCAGGATTTTTTATTTTAATTTTGTTAGCTTTATTGGTGTACTGTCAGTATGGATTTGATAAACTTCAGTGTGTATTTGTGCAAATTTCAGAATATTTACTAAGGTCAGTCTCAGGTTATTGCCCTCAGTAATTTTGGGTAATAATAGACTACTCGGTGAGTTTTAGCGATTAATTATAGCTTAACTCGTACACTGTTAAGTTTATTTTAGAGGTGAGATGCTACTTTGTTGTGAAAATGCTAAAAAAGTAGCGAAACCAGATGAAATCCGCTTAGCCCAATCTAAAATACCCTGACAAAACTTACCCCCACCATTGGTACTGGGGCATCTCTTAACATTTGGCTGGCATGTGAGGCGATACATTACCACGTGTTGATTGCCTCAGATGTCCTTTGCAAACAAAATGAACCAAAATACTATTTATGCTAATATTTCTCAAAAGGACAATTTGCATAAGAATTACTTTTTTTTTTTTTTTTTTTCTATGGTGTACATAGGTTATATGTATAGTACCCCTCAAGGGAGGTTCCTTGATGCTGGTGAGGTGCTCTTGATCTAGAGAATTGGATGTGCTCCAGTTCCCTGAATTGAGCCTGAATACCTTCCATCCTCCCCCCACATGCACTGTATAATCCTGTGGGTTTAGCGCTCCATGTGATTATATAATTATATATGTATTTTAAAATATCAACTAATGTCAGAGTTCCACCAAGTAGCTGTTTTTAACCTTAGTAATATTTTGTTGTGTAAGTGGTAAAATTGTAACAAAACCCACCTAACCCAACCTCAGGCTGGGCTTTTAGAATGAAATAACTTTAACTGGTCACAGGTACATGTGAGAATTTTATTATGATTAGTAATTTTTAATGATAGTGCAAATTAAAATGTATCTTATTGTGATTTTAACATTACAGATGAGAAGTGCATGCCAACATGGGTGATGGAATGTTATCATTGTCGTGGAATAACCACAAAGCTACATTTTGTCACATACTTGCAACACTTAGGGAAAAGGTAAATATAGTTGGTTTTATTGCTAAACCATATCTGTTATTTCTATTTTTTTATAATAGCAAAAATATATTTGTGTAAACATTATTCACAGTATGGCTACCTGGCTCAGCAGCAGTAGTTGTTAACCTGTATGCCATCTACCCCTTATATTTATCATCATCTAATGTGGGTTCTTTTATATTTGGTGTTTTTTAATTATTGTGCAATACATACATTTTTTTTTTTTTAACAAGTTGGCCATCTCCCACCGAGGCAGGGTGACCCAAAAAGAAAGAAAATCCCCAAAAAGAAAATACTTTCATCATCATTCAACACTTTCACCACACTCACACATAATCACTGTTTTTGCAGAGGTGCTCAGAACACAACAGCTTAGAAGCATATACGTATAAAGATGCACAACATATCCCTCCAAACTCTCAATATCCTGAACCCCTCCTTTAGAGTGCAGGCATTGTACTTCCCATTTCCAGGATTCAAGTCCGGCTATATAAAGATAACCGGTTTCCCTGAATTATTATTATTATTATCACACTGGCCGATTCCCACCAAGGCAGGGTGGCCCGAAAAAGAAAAACTTTCACCATCATTCACTCCATCACTGTCTTGCCAGAAGGGTGCTTTACACTGCAGTTTTTAAACTGCAACATTTACACCCCTCCTTCAGAGTGCAGGCACTGTACTTCCCATCTCCAGGACTCAAGTCCGGCCTGCCGGTTTCCCTGAACCCCTTCATAAATGTTACTTTGCTCACACTCCAACAGCACGTCAAGTATTAAAAACCATTTGTCTCCATTCACTCCTATCAAACACGCTCACGCATGCCTGCTGGAAGTCCAAGCCCCTCACACACAAAACCTCCTTTACCCCCTCCCTCCAACCTTTCCTAGGCCGACCCCTACCCTGCCTTCCTTCCACTACAGACTGATACACTCTTGAAGTCATTCTGTTTCGCTCCATTCTCTCTACATGTCCGAACCACCTCAACAACCCTTCCTCAGCCCTCTGGACAACAGTTTTGGTAATTCCGCACCTCCTCCTAACTTCCAAACTACGAATTCTCTGCATTATATTCACACCACACATTGCCCTCAGACATGACATCTCCACTGCCTCCAGCCTTCTCCTCGCTGCAACATTCATCACCCATGCTTCACACCCATATAAGAGCGTTGGTAAAACTATACTCTCATACATTCCCCTCTTTGCCTCCAAGGACAAAGTTCTTTGTCTCCACAGACTCCTAAGTGCACCACTCACCCTTTTCCCCTCATCAATTCTATGATTCACTTCATCTTTCATAGACCCATCCGCTGACACGTCCACCCCAAATATCTGAATACATTCACCTCCTCCATACTCTCTCCCTCCAATCTGATATCCAATCTTCATCACCTAATCTTTTTGTTATCCTCATAACCTTACTCTTTCCTGTATTCACCTTTAATTTTCTTCTTTTGCACACCCTACCAAATTCATCCACCAATCTCTGCAACTTCTCTTCAGAATCTCCCAAGAGCACAGTGTCATCAGCAAAGAGCAACTGTGACAACTCCCACTTTATGTGTGATTCTTTATCTTTTAACTCCACGCCTCTTGCCAAGACCCTCGCATTCACTTCTCTTACAACCCCATCTATAAATATATTAAACAACCACGGTGACATCACACATCCTTGTCTAAGGCCTACTTTTACTGGGAAATAATTTCCTCTTTCCTACATACTCTAACTTGAGCCTCACTATCCTCGTAAAAACTCTTCACTGCTTTCAGTAACCTACCTCCTACACCATACACCTGCAACATCTGCCACATTGCCCCCCTATCCACCCTGTCATACGCCTTTTCCAAATCCATAAATGCCACAAAGACCTCTAGCCTTATCTAAATACTGTTCACTTATATGTTTCACTGTAAACACCTGGTCCACACACCCCCTACCTTTCCTAAAGCCTCCTTGTTCATCTGCTATCCTATTCTCCGTCTTACTCTTAATTCTTTCAATAATAACTCTACCATACACTTTACCAGGTATACTCAACAGACTTATCCCCCTATAATTTTTGCACTCTCTTTTATCCCCTTTGCCTTTATACAAAAGAACTATGCATGCTCTCTGCCAATCCCTAGGTACCTTACCCTCTTCCATACATAAATATTACCTGCTCACACCCCAACAGATCGTCAGGTTCCAAATACCATTCGTCTCCATTCACTCCTATCGAACACGCTCACGCACGCCAGCTGGAAGTCCAAGCCCCTCGCCCACAAAACTTCCCTTACCCCCTCCTTCCAACCTTTTCGAGGACGACCCCTACCCCGCCTTCCTTTCCCTACAGATTTAAATGCTCTCCATGTCATTCTACTTTGATCCATTCTCTCTAAATGACCAAACCACCTCAACAACCCCTCTTCAGCCCTCTGACTAATACTTTTATTAACTCCACACCTTCTCCTAATTTCCACACTCTGAATTTTCTGCATAATATTTACACCACACACTGCCCTTAGACAGGACATCTCCACTGCCTCCAACTGTCTCCTCGCTGCTGCATTCACAACCCAAGCTTCACACCCATGTAAGAGTGTTGGTACTACTATACTTTCATACATTCCCTTCTTTGCCTCCATAGATAACGTTTTTTGTCTCCACACATACCTCAACGCACCACTCACCTTTTTTCCCTCATCAATTCTATGATTAACCTCATCCTTAATAAATCCATCCGCTGACACGTCAACTCCCAAGTATCTGAAAACATTCACTTCTTCCATACTCCTCCTCCCCAATTTGATATCTAATTTTTCTTTATCTAAATCATTTGATTCCCTCATCACCTTACTCTTTTCTATGTTCACCTTTACATACATACGTACATGTATGGCATATATTAATACATTGGACCCCCGGTTAACGATATTTTTTCACTCCAGAAGTATGTTCAGGTGCCAGTACTGACCGAATTTGTTCCCATAAGGAATATTGTGAAGTAGATTAGTCCATTGCAGAGCCCCAAACATACACGTACAAACGCACTTACATAAATACACTTACATAATTGGTCGCATTCGGAGGTGATCGTTATGCGGGGGTCCACTGTATATGGTTAGTTTGACTACAGTACATTTTCTTTGATGTGTGAGTTTTCAAATTTGTTATGATACGATTAAGTAAATAACATTAAAAAATTACAGCTTTGTATAGCCCACACAGGTAGAGTGCTTTTTCAAATAATTTCCATTAAAATTGTTTGTTATAACCAATCAAATTTCTTAAGTTGTGTATAAATATTACACAATAATTTTCACTTTTTTCTTTTCATGCATAGGAGAGGTACACAGATGTGACCCTGGCATGCGAGGGAAAGTTTTATCCAGTGCACAAACTGGTGCTATCAACATGTAGTGAATACTTTGAAAGTATGTTTGAACAGACACCGTGTAAACATCCTATTGTAGTGCTTAAAGATGTTAAACCCGATGAATTAGAAGCTCTTTTGAGCTACATGTACGCTGGTGTAGTGAATGTGGCACAAAATGACTTGGCCAAGTTAATAAAAGTGGCAGAGTTACTCCAGATAAAAGGCTTAGCTGTCCCAGATGAACCACCTCAGGAAGTTGAAACCAAGAAGACACACACGCCACCCTGGAGTTCCCGTGATGATAGGTCAAGTCCACATCCCAAAAGAAGAAGAAAAGAAAATGGAACACCTCATGGTGAAACACATATCTCAAACAGTCCTAAATCACCAGTAGCCTCGCCTCATCATGTAGAAAGTGATCATAACCAAGAAAATTCTAGAACACCTAGTGAAAGTCATGTTAGTGAACACAGAATAGACAAAACATTAGAAAGACTAGAACAGAGGCAGGACATGAGTTCAGACCAAAATGTTGACTGTGCAGCCAAACAAGGATCACCCCTTCAGGTTTGTTCATTAATAAAAAATTTTTTGCATCTTGGGTTTATTTGCTGCTGTAGTTTATCTGATTTTTTGCTCAACAATTTGTAATATCTTAATAAATTGCAGAAGTGATAAAATAAAATGATTTAAAATTATCTTCTCAAACATAAATCATTCACCAGAAGTGGCATAAATTTAATTTCAGGTGTGACTATAATGAGTGTAGTCAAAGTAAATAACTTAATGGGCTTAAGCACTTGTCATTCATGCTTGCCATCCTCATCTCAAACTACAATCACAAGTTTTAGAAATAAAAAAATATTGGAGTGTGCTTGCCAATAATTTAGTATTTTGTAGGCTATCCCTTGTGTATTAGCACATCCTTTAATTGTCTAAGAAGTGATTCACTTAAATTCTTGAGGGTTTCTTGTGATAAATTCTCCCATGACTCATAAATGGTTACCTCAGCCATAGGAGTGAGCTGATGTTCTTCTCTTGTAGATCTCTCCAAAGGTTCTAAATGGGGTTAGTCAGGAATTTCCTGGCCAGTCATCAAAGAAGGGTACTTCAGTCACAAAGCCACTAAACAAATGATTTAGCAGTGGGGCATGGAGCACTGTTGCATTAAAATCTTTGCACTACTCAATGTGAAAAAATTGGGCAAATGATCAAAAATCAATTCCGTGTAGATGTAATGATTCGTACATTGGTGCTTGGGCAGCACAATTGACTGGCTAATACTTTTAGCACTAAGCTCAAATGATTAGAGATTTGGGGTGTATGGGCCCTAGGGGTTGCTGCCTAGGTATCTTTAAATGTTCCCAACTGTTAAAGGTCACTGTGAAAGTGGCTTCATAACTCCAAAGCACCTCACTCCACTATTCTTTAGTCCATGTTTGATATTTCTTTACAAGCACAACTCTGTGCTTTCTGCACAATATTGGTTTCTGAACTGGTGTACAGCTGCTGTAACCAAGCTCCTTCACACACCTATTTACAGTTCTAATACACATTATGAAGCTGCTCTGTATTCTATTTTTGTAATCTCCCATGTGATCATTGAGTCTAATCTCAAGCTGTCTTAATTACAGTTAATGTACATATGGATGCTTTCTAGGCTTTCCAGGATGTGCTTTTAGTGTGGTCGTGTCATCACTGCTGTTTCTCGGAACTGACACGGCCAGTTCCTTACTGAATGCGCGCACGCCAGTGGCTGCCACCATTGTGCTATTGTATTTTGTGTCAGAGATTACCTTCCCCATATCAGTGGACCCCCGGTATTCGATATTAATCCGTTCCTGAGAGCTCATCGAATACCGATAATATCGAAAACCGAATCAATTTTCCTCATAAGAAATAATGGAAATCAAATTAATCAGTGCAAGAGACCCAAAAGTATGAAAAAAAAAATTTTACTACATGGAATATTAAGTTTAATGCAATAGAATAATAATAAAATAATTGACACTTACCTTTAATGAAGATCTGGTGATGATTGATGGGATGGGAGGAGGGGAGAGGTGTTAGTGTTTAGAAGGGGAATCCCCTTTCATTAGGACTTGAGGTAGCAAGTCCTTTTCCGGGGTTACTTCCCTTCTTCTTTTAATGCCAGTAGGACCAGCTTCAGAGTCACTGGATTTCTGTCACACAACATATCTGTCCATAGTGGCCTGTACCTCCCGTTCCTTTATGACATCCCTAAAGTGTTTCACAACATTGTTAGTGTAATAGTCACCAGCACGGCTTGCAATAGCTGTGTTGGGTGATTGTCATCAAAAAAGGTTTGCACTTTAAGCCACATTGCACACATTTCCTTAATCTTTGAAGTAGGCAACTTCTTCAATTTCTCTATCCCCTCCTCCGAAGCAGTTTCCTCAGGTCTGCCCTCTTGCTGTTCAAGATGATCTATCAGCTCATCAGTGGTTAGTTTTTCACTGTCCTCCTCCACCAACTCTTCCACATCCTCCCCACTAACCTCCAACCCCAAGGACTTCCACAATGGATTCCTCAACTGGCATAGGATTCTCAGGGTTAGCCTCAAATCCTTCACAATCCCTTTTGTCTACACATTCTGGCCACAGTTGTTTCCAAGCAGAGTTCAAGGTCCTCTTAGTCACTCCCTCCCAAGCCGTACCTATCAGGTTTATACAATTGAGGATATTAAAGTGATCCTTCCAAAACTCTAAAGAGTCAGTTGAGTTTCTGTGGTCACTATAAAGCACTTTTGAAACATAGCTTTTGTGTACAGTTTCTTGAAGTTGGAAATGACCTGCTGGTCCATGGGCTGCAGGAGAGGAGTGGTATTAGGAGGCAAAAACTTGACCTTAATGAAGCTCATGTCCCCAGAAAGTCGCTCTGGCAAGTCTGTAGGATGACCAGGGGCATTGTCTAATACCAGGAGGCACTTAAGGTCTAATTTCTTTTCAGTTAGGTAATTTTTCACAGTGGGGGCAAATGCATGGTGTAACCAGTCATAGAAAAAGTCCCTAGTGACCCATGCCTTACTGTTTGCCCTCCACAGCACACACAAATTAGCCTTGAGGACATTGTTTTTCCTGAACACTCTGGGAGTTTCAGAGTGATGCACCAATAAAGGCTTCACTTTGCAATCACCACTAGCATTGGCACACATCAACAGAGTAAGCTTGTCTTTCATAGGTTTATGTCCTGGGAGTGCCTTTTCCTCCTGAGTAATGTAGGTCCTGCTTGGCATTTTCTTCCAAAACAGGCCTGTTTCGTCGCAATTAAACACTTGTTCAGGTTTCAAGTCTTCACTGTCTATGTAATCCTTGAATTCCTTCATATTTTTCAGCTGCTTTGTGGTCCGAACTGGCAGCCTCACCATGCCTAATCACACTATGTATGCCACTACGATTCTTAAATCTTTCAAACCAACCTTTGCTGGCCTTAAATTCACTCACATCACCACTATTTGCAGGCAATTTCTTTACTAAATCGTCATGCAACTGCCTAGCCTTTTCACAAATGATCGCTTGAGAGATGCTATCTCCTGCTATCTGTTTTTCATTTATCCACACCAGTAACAATCTCTCAGCATTTTCTAACACTTGCGGTCACTGTTTCGTAATCACAGTTGCACCTTTTGCAAGAACAGCTTCCTTGATTGCCGTTTTCCTGGTCACTATAGTAGAGATGGTTGATTGGGATTTATTATACAACCTAACCAGCTCCAACACACGCACTCCACTTTCGTACTTTGCAATTATCTCTTTCTTCATTTCATAAGTCATTAGCGACTTTTTTCTTGAAGGGTTGGCACTAGAAGCTTTCTTGGGGCCCATAGTGACTTATTTTGCAGAAACAAGCACCAAACACAGTGATAATATGGATAATGTGGAATGTACCGAATGTATCCTTAGATGCGCGCACACTGGCTGGCTTGTAAACACTGGCACACAAGGGGCAGTTCAGGCCTCACGTGGACACGTCTCATACGAATCGTATCGAATACCGGGTTTTCAATTGAATACCGAGGAAAATTTTTTGCGATAAAATGTATCGAATACCGGATTTATCGAATACCGATGCCATCGAATACCGGGGGTCCACTGTATTAGTAGTACTCACCTATAGCCAAAAATGTCCAACAAACCCTGTACTCAGGACCACGTGGTGAAGGGACAGTACAGACATGTCCATCCATCACACAAGCTTAGAGAGCACTGAGCATGTAGGAGGTTTCCTTGCAATATCCTGAGATGCCACTATGATTTGCCTGGCCGGCAAACATTTCTGTCACTCCAAAATGCCTAAAGGATCGGGTATTACTTTTGATATTAAAGTTTGCCTGTTGGAGGCACCAGGCAAACTATAATGATGAGCACTGTAAATGCCATTTATTACTTTCTTGAGAGTAATTCTGTGATAACTGGCATGTTACTTAGAGAATGTAAAAACTACATTACTATACTGTACTTGGGTAGATGGCGAGAATATTTTGAAGAACTTTTAAATGTCGACGAAGAAAGGGAAGCAGTAATTTCATGCACTGGCCAGGGAGGTATACCATCTTTTAGGAGTGAAGAAGAACAGGATGTGAGTGTGGGGGAGGTGAGTGAGGCATTACGTAAAATGAAAAGGGGTAAAGCAGCTGGAACTGACGGGATCATGACAGAAACATTAAAAGCAGGGGGGGGGATATAGTGTTGGAGTGGTTGGTATTTTTGTTTAATAAATGTATGAAAGAGGGGAAGGTACCTAGGGATTGGCAGAGAGCATGTATAGTCCCTTTATATGAAGGGAAGGGGGACAAAAGAGATTGTAAAAATTATAGAGGAATAAGTTTACTGAGTATACCAGGAAAAGTGTACAGTAGGGTTATAATTGAAAGAATTAGAGCTAAGACAGAATGTAGGATTGCGGATGAACAAGGTTTCAGAGTGGGTAGGGGATATGTAGATCAAGTGTTTACATTGAAGCATATATGTGAACAGTATTTAGATAAAGGTAGGGAAGTTTTTATTGCATTTATGGATTTAGAAAAGGCATATGATAGAGTGGATAGGGGAGCAGTGTGGCAGATGTTGCAAGTATATGGAATAGGTGGTAAGTTACTAAATGCTGTAAAGAGCTTTTATGAGGATAGTGAGGCTCAGGTTAGGGTGTGTAGAAGAGAGGGAGACTACTTCCCGGTAAAAGTAGGTCTTAGACAGGGATGTGTAATGTCACCATGGTTTAATATTTTTATAGATGGGGTTGTAAAAGAAGTAAATGCTAGGGTGTTCGGGAGAGGGGTGGGATTAAATTATAGGGAATCAAATACAAAATGGGAATTAACACAGTTGCTTTTTGCTGATGATACTGTGCTTATGGGAGATTCTAAAGAACAATTGCAAAGGTTAGTGGATGAATTTGGGAGTGTGTAAAGGTAGAAAGTTGAAAGTGAACATAGAAAAGAGTGAGGTGATGAGGGTATCAAATGATTTAGATAAAGAAAAATTGGATATCAAATTGGGGAGGAGTAGAATGGAAGAAGTGAATGTTTCCAGATACAGTATGTACTTGGGAGTTGACGTGTCGGCGGATGGATTTATGAAGGATGAGGTTAATCATAGAATTGATGAGGGAAAAAAGGTGAGTGGTGCGTTGAGGTATATGTGGAGACAAAAAAACGTTATCTATGGAGGCAAAGAAGGGAATGTATGAAAGTATAGTAGTACCAACACTCTTATATAGGTGTGAAGCTTGGGTTGTGAATGCAGCAGTGAAGAGAAAGTTGGAGGCAGTGGAGATGTCCTGTCTAAGGGCAGTGTGTGGTGTAAATATTATGCAGAAAATTCGGAGTGTGGAAATTAGAAGGTGTGGAGTTAATAAAAGTATTAGCCAGAGGGCTGAAGAGGGGTTGTTGAGGTGGCTTTGTCATTTAGAGAGAATGGATCAAAGTAGAATGGCCTGGGGAGCATTTAAATCTGTAGGGGAAGGAAGGTGGGGTAGGGTCGTCCTCGAAAAGGTTGGAAGGAAGGGGTAAGGGAGGTTTTGTGGGCGAGGGGCTTGGACTTCCAGCAGGCGTGCATGAGCGCATTCAATAGGAGTGAATAGAGATGAATGGTATTTGGGACCTGATGATCTCTTGGGGTGTGAGCAGGGTAATATTTAGTGAAGGGATTCAGGGAAACTGGTTATTTTTATATAGCCGGACTTGAGTCCTGGAAATGGGAAGTACAGTGCGTGCACTCTAAAGGAGGGGTTTTGGGATATTAGCAGTTTGGAGGGATATGTTGTGTATCTTTATATGTATATGCTTCTAAACTGTTGTGTTCTGAGCACCTCTGCAAAAACAGTGATTATGTGTGAGTGAGGTGAAAGTGTTGAATGATGATGAAAGTATTTTCTTTTTGGGGATTTTCTTTCCTTTTGGGTCACCCTGCCTCGGTGGGAGGTGGCTGACTTGTTAAAAAAAAAAACAAACTTAGGTTTAGAGAGGGAATGATAAATTTTTTACCAATACTCTGTTTTAGATGAAAAGATCAAAATTATCCATTTTTCACCAAAACAGACACTGATACCATTAAAATTAGCTGACGCACACCAATACCAGTACAGTACTCAGTTTTAGGCCAAGGGCAGTGCCATCAAAATTAGCCGATTGCCCCATTATTTTAGCATACCTCAACCTAAGTTGTGAACTAATGGCCATCCCTCTTATGTTGATGAAACCTTACCACTGGGATCTTGTGGTACCAATACCTTTGAGGTATTGATACCACAAGGCATGACACTTAGAAATTAAAGTAATTGCCTCAGCAGCGAGTACAGAATAAAAGAAAAGTGCAATATTCCTGAAAGATCCTTTCATCCTGCTTGTTTACTTTTAACCCTTTGACTGTTGCAAGCCCATTTCTGAAACTGTCATTCTTTGTCGCAAATTTTTTGGGAAAAAGAAAATTATATTTTCTTATGAAATGATAAGAGAATCCTTTTCTGATGGTAATGACACCAAAAGCACGAAATTTGATTGAAAACTTAAGGAATTATGCTCGGTGATATATACGCATTGGCGATTTCGCTGACTTTGAGCCCTATTTTCGGCTAATTCCATTGTTCCAGTTGACCAAACTCATAGCTATTTCTTTAGAACTCCATTTTTTCTATCAATTGAGTACAAGAAACCGCCCATTTACCGATTTCAACTGTCCAATAAAGTGGTCAGAAATTGGCAATTTGGCCAATTTCACGCAAATTAAAAAAGATGCCAATTTCAAAATAGGGTCCAGAATAAACAGTGCAGACATTATTGGCACTAAAATAACATATCCTCTGTTCATTAGTCACGTCTCTAGGCCCCTCTTATATTACTCTTGCTTTCTAATTTTATTTTTTATTCACACAAAAAAAAAAAAACAGAAAATTTACTGTTATGCAGACTACTGCATTATTGTAAAAATGGTATAAATAATATCAGTGCACTAGTGAAAGAATATTAGACTCCCCAGTTGATGTGTATTGGACGTGTGGTGTGATTTGCTTACACTTGAATGTTGGCAAAAATCGAACATTTCCGCTACTTTGAGCTCAATTTCAAGGTCGTTTCATTGCAAAACTAACCAAAATCATCTCTATTTCTGTAATATGTTTTCCATTCTATCAAATGAGACCAAGAAAACGAGAATACATTCATAAATACTATAGGAAAATACCCCTCGGAGTCGGTGTTTTAATCCAAAAACACAGTCAGTTTTTTTTTCTCATGCGCTGTGTGCTGCAGGATTTTTTTATACAGTGCACACTGGCCAAACAGACCCATTCTCTCACATGTGGGCCTACCAGCTTTCTCCTGCTTGATTTGAAGCCGCTAGAATTATTGAGTACGTATATACGTATACGTCTGAAACACCGGCTTGTAAGACATGTATATATGGCCTGAAACAGTCAAAGGGTTAATCCCTCCTGTGAGGTGCCTTGAATGATGTATCCAGAGAATTGGACATACTCCTATGGGTTTAGTGCTTCCTCCTAAATATAATGATAATCTCAACCTTTAAACCATGCATGGCTAGGTCTATGATATCTCTGCATTGGTAACCTTATATTGAATTAAAAATAATTTTTCTTGAAGGATTGCAGAGAAAAAATTAAAAATTACTGCAGAGAGAGAACTAAAAAAAATGTAAATTTATCTTTTTATCGCATGTTGATTGGGTTTAATGCTTAATTTCATTATTATTATTATTATTATTATTATTATTATTATTATTATTATTATTATTATTATTATTATTATTATTATTACATGTTGAATTTTGACAAATCGAAGCATACGGTAGTAATGATTTGACCTGTCAGAATTCTGGTGACAGAAGTAGTGGATAGTACTAAAATTTTATACATGCATTTCCATAATTCCTTTTAACAATCTTTAGCTTCTGCACATTTACAGAACTTGTATGTTTGATCATTTTAGATGTACAGTCTCCGCAAAAAAAAAAAAAAGAAAGCCACGAAAGGAGGAAAAAAACAAAACAAAAAAGAGATTTGCTGCTGATTGAGTACCAAACATTTTAAACAACAAAAAGGCACAATACCGTGACTGGAACAATGCACAGATAACCCACACATAGGGGAGGGGAGCTTACGACAACGTAAATGGTCCAAGTTGGACCGAAACGTCGCCGTAAACTCCCCTCTCATACATGCAGGTTATCTGTGTACCAAACATTTCTCTTGCATTTCTAACTATGTAAAGAAAATGAATGAGATACAGTCATAAGTTTGGGATCGATCCCTCCCCTCCCCATCCCCAGTCATGTAAACATTAGACACAGGCACAAAGTTATCAGCAACCCACGGACCATGTTAGAGGGAGGTGCCACACTCTCCATTCAACCCGTTTCTCATGCATGACTGCCTAGTTTTGCCACCATCTACAGCTGTTCCTGTCGGTCATGATGGGTTGGAAGAAGCTTTGTATGGAGGTGAAGACTGTCATCACTCTCTGGATGAGGGAGTCCTTGTGAAGGATATTGCTGAGAGACTGGGGTGCACCCACAGTTTATCCTGAATCTGAATAAAGCTATAAACATCCTGCTTCATGGCACCACTCCTGCTAGAAAGGGGTCTGGGAGGCCCAGGAAGACCACCCCATGCACTGATGCTCTTCTGAAGAGGGAAATTATGCTACAACCTAGTTACTTCTTAGGAATTAAAGCATTGTGATGTCCTGAGAGAGACAAGGTGTGTGCACTCTCCGACATTGGTTGCAAAAAGATCTGAGGATGCCATGTTAGAGGGTTGGCAAATTCCTTATCAAGAGTGTGTGTAAATTTCACTTTGAATTCTGTGAACAGTACATGGATTAGACCCAGGTTGAGTGGAGGAACATGTTTAGTGATGGATCAGCATTTTGTCATCAGGAATGTCTCAAAGCTGGCTCATTGTTGCATCAAGATGGTCAAATACCCTCCAAGGTCATGGTTTGGTAGGTGCTTTATTGGTAATGGTGGTCCTGGTGGTCTTTATTTCCTGTCCAAGGGTGGATGGGAAGACGTACTTAAGTCATCGATGAGATACTCCTCACTCAGTACCATGTTCAAGGTATCAGCAACTTTGTGCATAACAGAGCCCCCAGCCACTGCAGCATGAAATTCCTATTTTGGAGTGGCTAGGTAACAGCCTAGGTGTCAATATGATTGAAAGTGTTTGGCAGGTATTGAAATCCAAGGTAGAAGAATACCAGATCTCAAGCATCCCAAGCTTGGTGGAGGGCCTGAAAGTCTATGGATTAATATGATTTGACTTGTATCTCTAAACTAAGTGATTCTATGCCAGAAAGGATTAAAAAAAGTAATGAAAGCAAAAGGTCAGATGACCAAATATTGATGTTTTGTACATTTTAAGTTCTCTAATAAAGCTCATTAAAATATTTGTCTTATCCTTCTCCAGACTTTTTTTTTTTTTTTGCGGAGACTGTATTACAGGCCGTGGTGTGGTGATATACAGTGAAACCTCTCAACAGACTAATGGGAAGGGGTATACGATAATGGCGATTGTCCCTACCTCCCTCCCCCCCTCCTGAATTATGAAATTAATATTTTATCGTCCAGGTGTCTTCTGTAGTAGTGGACTTGGTATGTTGGTGCAGAAGACAACTGGACACTAAGAATACAGGTATTGTAACCTGTAGTACTACAGTGTAGTACTGTATAGTAATTTTATAGTACGCAATTTACAAAAATTTTACGTACCCTTTTGAGGTGGAGAGACGAGTTGTAAACTGTTGAGCGATAGTGATGACTCGGTAACTTCTATTCTGAATCAGAGCTTTAAAGCTCTGCTGGTGAAAATAATGTAGAGGGCTGAGATGTAGATGGCTAAGAAAATGTAGATTTCTGAGAGCCACACATTTTCTCTTGCCACAGCCACTTGCTTTTGTAGCAATTCTTTATTGCATTTTACTTAATATGGTAATAAAGTTACACAAATGGTTTAAATCCAGGGAAAATTAGAGACTGAAATAAGAGTGTATGCGTGAGAGAGCACAAACTTGCACAGGTGGCCAACAGCTCGTGGGCAATGACAATGGAAAGGTCCTGGACATGTCTGCTTTGGCCCATAATAATAATAATAGTAATCCTAGGTAGGAGGTTGGTAGACAGCAATCGCCCAGGGAGGTACTACCGTCCTGCCAAGTGATTGTAAAACGGAAGCCTGTAATTGTTTTGCACGATGGTAAGATTGCTGGTGTCTCTTTTCTGTCTCATACACATGCAAGATTCCAGGTATGTCTTGCTACTTCTACATACACTTAGGTCATATTACGCATAAATGTATGAGCATATATATACACACCCCTCTGGGTTTTCTTCTATTTTCTTTCTAGTTCTTGTTCTTGTTTATTTCCTCTTACCTCCATGGGGAAGTGGAACAGAATTCGTCCTCCGTAAGCCATGTGTGTTGTAAGAGGTGACTAAAATGCCAGGAGCAAGGGGCTAGTAACCCCTTCTGTATATATTACTAAATGTAAAAGAAGAAACTTTAGTTTTTCCTTTTGGGTCACCCTGCCTCGGTGGGATATGGCCAGTGTGTTGAAAGAAAGAATAATAATAATCCTAGGTAGTAGGTTGGTTGACAGCAACCGCCCAGGGAGGTACTACCTTCCTGCTAAGTGAGTGTAAAACGAAAGCCTGTAATTGTTTTACATGATGGTAGGATTGCTGGTGTCTTTTTTTTTCTGTCTCATTAACATGCAAGATTTCAGGTAAGTCTTGCTACTTCTACTTACACTTAGGTCATACTACACATGCATGTACAAGCATATATATACACCCCTCTGGGTTTTCTTCTAATCTCTTATAAGTTCTTGTTCTTGTTTATTTCCTCGTATCTCCATGGGGAAGTGGAACAGAATTCTTCCTCCATAAGCCAAGCGTGTCGTAAGAGGCAACTAACATGCTGGGAGCAAGGGGCTAGTAACACCTCCTGTATACATTACTAAGTAAGTAAGACACATAGGCAACATTTAGGCATCTCTATTCTGAAACGTTTTGCTTACACAGTACGCTTCTTCAGTCGAGTACAGAAAGTACGCAGGATGCCTAAATGTTGCTTGTGTGTCTTTCTTACCAAGTTGTTGGTATTGTATATCTTTTTGATATTCATACATTACTAAAGTTAAAAAGAGAAACTTTTGTTTTTCTTTTTGGTCACCCTGCCTTGGTGGGATACAGCCAGTTTGTTGAAAGAATAATAATAATAATATCTTTATTTACTACAAGTACATGTACAAGGTATACAGGCCTAGCTGACATCAATGACATACAGGAGGTCCCCGCTTTTCGACGTTTCGCCTTACAGCGTTCCGGTAATACGGTGATCTCAAATTATGACCAAAAGTATCTATACGGCAAGTGGTCTTCAAATACGGCGCAGGCCACCCAGTTTGTTTACATTCTCCATGAGCACATCACTCTATTGTGTAATAATAATCGCTCTTGGACACATTAAATGTCTAATTTTACGTCAATATAGACATTTTCGTTAATCCATCTATAATATTTTCTTCCAAATTATATAAGAAACACGTTACATAGCATATAAACATGCTGTTTATATGCTATGGAGGTGTGGTTGCCAGGTGGAGGGAAAACATTACATAATACTAATAATAATCACTCTTGGGCACATTAAATGTCTTATTTTACATTAATATAAACATTTTCATTAACTCATCTATGTATTATATTTTCTTAAAAATTATATAAGAAGCACATTACATAACATATTATGTTTATATACTATGGAGGTGTGGTAGCCAGGCAGAGGGAAAACATTGTCACTCCCCTTAATACATAATGCTTTGTTTACAATTCTTGGCTTGAATTATTCATTACTTCCCCCTTTGTTTATGATGGCATCTAAAGGTAGTTGTTAGAAACGGTTAAAGTCAGTGAACATGGTATGTCGATGGTAATAATATGGCTCTGGGCCACATAAAATATCGTGTAGCTATGTAGGTAGGTGTAGGTATGTAGCCCAGGTGGACTACATTCCCACATTATTATTACA